ATGTTAATCCATGCGTTTATGACCTCAAGGTTAGATTATTGTAATGCTTTATTGGGTGGTTGTTCTGCACGCTTAATAAACAAACTCCAGCTGGTCCAAAATGCAGCAGTTAGAGTTCTTACTAGAACTAGGAAGTATGACCATATTAGCCAGTGCAGTGTTGACAGAACCGGGCTAATATGGTCATACTTCCTGGTTCTAGTAAGAACTCTAGCTGCTGCATTTTGGACCAGCTGGAGTTTGTTTATTAAGCGTGCATAACAACAACAATAAAGCATTACAATAATCTAACCTTGAGGTCGTGAGCGCATTAATTAACGTTTCTGCATTTGACATTGAGAGCATAGGTCGTAATTTAGTCGTAATAAAATATATTTTTAGATGGAAAAATGCGGTTTTACAAATGTTTTAGGTCCGATAATTAATACCTGTTTTTTCAGAATTTAGCAGTAAGAAATTACTCGTCATCCAGTTTTTTATATCGACTATGCATTGCGTTAAATTGGTATGTTTCGCCGGGCTGAGTGTCATCAGCATAACAGTGAAAGCTAACACCGTGTTTCCTGATGATATCTCCCAAAGGTAACATGTAAAGCGTGAAAAGTAACGGCCCTAGTACTGAGCCTTGAGGTACTCCATACTGCACTTGTGATCAATATGATACCTCTTCATTCACTGCTACGAATTGATGGCGGTCAGATAAGTACGATTTGAACCATGCTAATGCACTTCCACTAAAGCCAACAAAGTTTTCTAGTCCATTCAAAAGAATGTTGTGGTCGATAGTGTCGAACACAGCGCCAAGATCCAGTAGCACTAATAGAGAGATACAACCACGATCAGATGATAAGAGCAGGTCATTTGTAACTCTAATTAGAGCAGTCTCAGTACTATGATACAGTCTAAATCCTGACTGGAAATCCTCACAGATACCATCGAGTGTTTATTGTCTTAATGTTTCATCATTCAAAGCATTTCTATATTCTTTTTAACCAGTTACAGCGACAACTGGAGGCTTTTGTCCATATTAGGGATTTTCTGGAGCGTTCTATTACTTCTGTGAAGCATATGTGGATTTTCTGCGCGAGGGCGCCCTCTGGCTTCCAGTATGAAGACATTACATGTGTTTACGGCCAATCCATAAAAATAATACTTCTCTCCAAAAAATTTAAAGTAGACGTGTTAATCTGTTTTTCTACAGTGTACAGAAGTGTACTTGAGTGTTTTTTTGAAAAAAAATTTTTATCACAAGCCATCAGAACCGAACCGAAAACCGTGGTTAAAGGTGTGTGTGACTGAGTGCAGACCTGCTAACCTTTGGAAAATATTTAACATTAAATCCTGTATTTTGCACATTGTGCAATTACGATTTTGACATTAGCCATAGAGGAGCTTCAGTAATAATGTAGCTATCTAGGAATATATGAATATCCCCCGACCAAACCCCGTCACACTGATGGTACTCAAAAAGTTTCCAAGATTGGCAGGTCTGCAAGATGGCAGAAAGCGCATCCTGATTGTTTTGTTTATTTTGTAAAAGCATAACATTTTGTTGACATTATGAGTGCACACAAATAAAAGTAGACCTTTTACAGTGTAGAATTATGTATTACTCTTACATTTATGAGCAAAAATGACGGCGGTTGTTTCCACTGTTATTAAGAAAAGCATGCAAGTGATCGCGCTGGCGCCTCCATGTCCTGCAAAGCGTGTTTCAGCTTCCACTCTCCGCACAAACTATTGATATGCATCTGACATCGTACGTTTATCTAGGTTAAACGTTTAAAAGGGTCATATGATGCGATTACAATTTTTCCTTTCTCTTTGAAGTGTTACAAGCTCTTGGTGCATAAAGAAGATCTGTAAAGTTGCAAAGACTAAAGTCTCAAATCCAAAGAGATATTCTTTTTAAAAGTTGAGTCAACCACACCTACCTAAAACGGCTCGTTCTAACACGCCCCCACATGTCTACCTCACTATGTGGGAAGATTTGCATAACGCCGCCCAAATGTTCACGCAAAGAAAGAAGGCGTAACTTTTATTCTTGCTGTAG